GTTTCCTCTTACAATGATATAATATATGCTTGAAGAAGCACCGCTGTGTATAAATAATAAATTTAGCATTCTCCTTTCTGTACATTTTGCACACCTCCAAATGACTTTGTAAGTGAATATATTACAACAATGTTCTACAATATCTCAACCACAAAATCATATAGAACATGTCAATAGTAACCTTTGATTTCCTGTCTGAGCCTAATCCTCCTTGCGTTCCTCCTCGTCCTCCTCCTTGAGTTCCTCCTCTTCCTCCTCTCCGCCCCGCTCTAAAGGAGTGTTCAATACGGGGAGGACCCTCTCCACCTTCACCATCCTGAGATTGCCTTTCTGGCCACGGTTCGCCTTTGTTTGGACGAGGCTCTCTTCTTCCCCCGCGGTGGCCACCTCTGCTCAGCCGGCCTGATCCGGTTCTGTTGGGGGGACTCTCACAGCGAGGCCAAGCAGACTCTTCTTCTTCTGGACCCTGGTCACCACGATTACCAGCTGGTTTCCTGTCATTCACCAAACGCTTATCCTAGAAAGGCAGGGTAAAGTTTTTGTGGATTCTAGTCCATGAGTAAAAAGCTCATGACCTGTTTTTTTGGATACATTCATAAGCAGCGTAATTTTAGTATTATTTATATACAAATAAAGTATTTATTATTTTTAACAACTTATAGTACTTACTCAATATTTTAAATCAGCTTTTATAATTTCAGTTATCATTTTAAACTTAAAGTTTAAGCACAGTAGTCTTGTAGTTGCCAAGACACCATTTCTAATTTTTCCAACCCGATCTCAGGAGAATTCGTACAAATTTTACGAGGTGGCTAATTCGTCACAATTCGTACGACCTCACTTGTACGAATTAGTACGTTTTTGCTAAATCGTACATATTTTACGAATTGGCCAATTCGTACGAATGACCTACCCCTGACCCCGTCCCTAAACCTACCCATCACGTGGGTTTGGACAAATCGTATGAGTCAGGTCGTATGAATTAGTACGAATTAGCCACTTTTTAATCACTCGTACGCATTCGTACGAATTGTTTGTGAGATTGCGTAGAAGTTTTCACAATTGCTTACGTTTTTAAAGTCTAATATTATATATTTAAGACTTAATTCAATTCAAAACTATTTTTAATTACAAAACAGCCTATAACATATTACCATCAACAATATCAGCGAATCAGATTGTTTTACAGGGCAGAGATTCCCATGTCCATCTTTCTAGTTTAACAAGTTTATTTTCTAAGAAAATTCTCTTATCCCTCACTTTTCAGTTACTGACAGGCACGACCTTCACAGACCACGATAGGAGGCTAAATCACAGCTGCATGGGCCATCTGTGATCCACTGAAACTCTACAGGTATTGATTAAAATGCTCTACAGCTAGTCTCAGCCTTCCCCAGGTGGGAAATTAATAGCTGTGAGGTATGGGAGTGGCAATTAACTTTTACAGGCTCTTGTTCACTATTAAAGCTGATGCAAATCATTAGCAGTCTTCAAAATCAAACTTGATCCTTTATACTTATCCAAAACATTCTCACATATCCAGTTCCCATATTAATGTTTTAGTTTTAAATGGGCATCTCTCTGATAAACGATGGACTTTAGGGCTTTAAATATTTATCACAATTCTTTGTAAGGGTGTGCAATATGTCTTATCTACAGTATGCCGGAAACAAAAATAAATCCACTTTTTTAGAACGACTCAGAGTCAGTGATTCAATGAATCAGCTGTTCAAATTACCTGGTTGATTAAATAACTCAATGACTCCTTAAGATGGTGATTTACAGTTACCTACTGGTGCTTTTAATTGTATATTTTAAGTGTTTTTATTTAATCAATGCATATTTACGCAAATACTCATAGTATTATGTATGAAAATGTAATTGCAGTGTAAATGCATTCATGCCTCCTCTTATCTGTATTAAACAGTCTAAGAACATCTAAGTAACACTGTTTTTTACCTTTTTTGTCAATATACAACACTAAGAACTAATTCTTTTTTTCCCACAATACTTAATATTCAACACTATTATTGATCTGACTGTACTGACACTGTGTAAGAACTGAACTTAGCTGAACAATGACATTTTTGCAGAAATGCTTTATAGATTAAATAAACTAATTAATAATGTTTACAATGGAACACTGAACTGTGTTACTTCAGCGGAACAACAGCAAAAATGCATTATTGTCCTTTCATCACTGTAAAGCTGCTTGAAAACAATCTATATTGTATAAAGCACTATGTAAATGTGACTTGATTTGACAATATTGCATTGACACTGGTATCAATATAGTTATTTCCTACAATTCAGTTAATGAAGCAGGTCATCTAAATAAACAGAAGTTCTTATACAGTATTTCTCATGAGTTTAAATCAGATAAAAAATTAGGCAAAATGCACGAGAGATCGCATCTGATGGAGAATCAGTGATAATGAAATATTCTGTGAAATCATTCTGCCATCTGTCTTTACCCCAGCTGGTTTAGACAAGTCGACGGTCACTGAGAAGTTCTCCTTCTCCGTCTTTCTCCGATCCGACTCAGGCTCATGAGGGCGGGCTTTGCGAGTTGTTGTCACAGCGATACCCTCCTGTTCAGCCTTTTTCTTATCTTCCTGAATTTCCTGGTGAAACAAGAGAAAAGAAAAGTAAACTAAATGAATTATTAAAATCAGATCAAGTTAAAGCTTTGAATCTGAGCATCTCAAGGGCTGAATGTTAAGTACAACGAATACTAAAAATAAACAATACAAAATAAACTAATTGGCAAAGTGGCAGCAAAATATCAGATTTCAGTATCCAAATTCACCTGATATCTCTTGACCAAAGCCTCATTCTTCTTCCTTAGAGCTTCAATCCTTTTGTCTAACTCAGCATCTTTCTCCTCCTTTGTTTTTAGATCCACCACAGCAGACTGACCAAACGGGAAGAGAGATATGTCACACAACTGTAGCCAATACACAAGACAGGAATCAACTATGTGATTACATTTTTCTTCATTGCAGTGTTAAAACACTGGGTCGATATTTTCAACATATGTAGACCAGATCTGCTACTGGGAATAATTTGTCCATGAATTGGCATTTTTTTATTATGTTTAACATAAAATATAATTATATAATCAATTCATATAATAATACAAACATAATTAATGTATATATGTGTGTGCGTGTGTGTGTGTTATTCTTGTGGCAAATGTCACATGATCCATCAGAAATAATTCAGAAATCATTCTAATATGCTGATTTGGTCATCAAGAAACATTTCAAGAACATCTTGTATGATAGTGATGATATTGAGCCTCACCATGGCTGGAAGCCTGTCCTAAAACAAAAAGTTGAGAGATGAAGAAACTCCTATACCTAAACGGGAAGAGACCAAAATGAGATGATGCAATGGCGTCCACAACTATTATTATTTTTATTTTATTTATTTTACAAATGTAATTGCATGCGTGATCACGACTCCATTCAAATCACACAATATTTAGAGAGGTTGGCATCATCATAAACCCTCTTATGAACACAGACTATATAAATCCCTGCATAAGCGTATTAGTGAGAACACAACACTAGAACATGTGAGCTAAACGTCTGTATACAATGGCAGTGCGTTCACAGTAAACAATGTAACTGAATGAATGTGTGGACTATCACAATGTATCAATATCATCAGAGAAGCCGCCAAGTGACTATGTGCCCTATTCAGCAGCCATGCTCAAGTCGTTTTTTATTTATTCAGTAAAACAAAAAGGCAATTGAAAATTACATAGAGACACACTCCAGCATATATACATTCATACATTAGACCGTAACAAATTCGCATCGTTTTACCTCTGGCAAGTGCAGCGCCCCTAAAAGTGGCTTGTAAAGTGCACTCGATCAACGGAGACCGATTACTCAATCTACTTCCGTTAACATTAGCTTCCACTTCCAGATGATGTGAGCGTCAAAAAAAAGAGAGGCGGAATTGCAAAATAAAAGTCATTTAGTGTGGCATTTGACTTTTTTTCTTTCTTTTTATTTTTTTATTGTCTATGGATTTGACCGTTTTGATTTGCTACACTTGGTGGAGAAAAGCACGAAAAGGGAACAATTATAATTTATTAATTATAATTCATTTTTTATTAATTATTTTATTCATTAAATATACATTGACAATTACTTACTACGGAGTCTTATTTTATTTATTTATTTATTTGTATAGGTACAAAGCATGTTGATGACCATTTGTACAGAATACAAGATTTATGTCCGTAGTCCTTAGGCAGGTGCACACAATAACAAATACTCACTACACGAGACTCAACTAAAAACACAATACATAAAAACACATCACAAACATTACTAAGAAAAATGTTTACACACTTGATTTTGTGTTTACACCCCCTGGATTAACCCCCTTAAAAATACAATGGATTAAAATGAAAGCGTGGTTAACGCAATCCATTCAATTGGTGCAATTCATAAGCTTTTTGTTTCAAAAAACATTTGACATAATTTAACTTCCATAAGCAAGAAATATAAGATTTCACACCATAAAATATGAAAAAAAGGGTAACATAACATAAAATATGGAAAAATGGGTAAGCACTACTAAGCAGATCATGGTCCTGAGTCTTTTAGGCTTACAGCTCCATCTGCTGGAAACAGCAAGGATTCCCAAAGCAGATCCATCCATCCGCAAATACTTATTAAACACGTGTGTGTGCATATATGTTGTATATATATATATATATATATATATATATATATATATATATATATTATATATATATATATATATATATATATATATGTATATGTGTGTGTGTGTCTGTGCGTGTGTGTGTGTGTGTGTGTGTGTGTGTATATATATATATATATATATATATTAGATTTTTATTATTTATTGTATTTGTTAATACTGTATTACCTTTTTATGTTATAGCAATCAATGGCTCTTTTCTGTCAAACCAAAGGATAAATAAAGACTTCCAGTGACCTGTGAATTACCATGGTGGATCTGCGCATGCCCACAACATCGAAGGTAAACAAAGAGGAAAACGCGCACCCGGCCTGAGTCCTGCTTAAAACATTAAACGCTGCTCTTCTATCGGCCTTTCTACCTGATCAAAACATGGATGTTATATTTTCATGCCGAGCCAGTATTTATTATGACCAAGGCGGTAGGAAATACATGGAGGATTTAGTGACGATGAAGCAGGAGGATGAGCCGAGTGAGGATGAACTGGACGCCGCTGAACGTGGCGAGATCGCGGCACCAGCAAAAGACCAAAACCACGACGCCTCAATCCAAGACTCCATTCCTGGATCTATCACTGTTACCTATGTTCAAGATGATGATCCTAGCTCTACTCTTCAGCAGGCGTCGATGCCCACCTCGTCTCGCTCGTCCAAACACACCCGTGGTCCGCGGGCTGTGTCTATGTTCGCCGTGTTCGACGGACATGGGGGTCCGGACGCTGCGCGCTTTGCTCGCGACCATTTGTGGGGCCACATCAAAAAACAAAGAGGCTTTTGGTCTGATGACGACGACGAGGTGTGCGCGGCTTTGCGAAAGGGATTCATCTCTTGTCACCATGCCATGTGGAAAAAATTACGTAAGTTGGGATATTGAACGTTAGATTACATGCATATACATACAGTTCTCGTTTAACGCTGCTGGGTTAAGTCCCTGCCATTTTGGACGTGCATTGCAAGGGAGAGAGTCGGAGCACATTTTTTGAATGAGGACTGCAACTGCAGATACATCCCGCCAAAATAAGTTGCACAATCCCTGCAGGTCACACCGAACAATTTCTAAACATCTGAACTTAAGTGATAGTCTCATGCTTACAGGCAGAAATCACAACTCAACACTCCTGACACTTTTCTAGATGCACACATAGCATTTTTTTCTGCCAATTGAAACGGGTTTTTACTCAAAGAAATGAACAGATGTTTTAAGAAACATACTTTAATGTACATTATGTACATTCACATAATATGAATACTGTAATTGTATCAGTTAAAAAAATTAAATCTGTCAAATGCCCTCATGGCACCGCAAATTGACAACACGTGGCTAGCGTGTCATGCAATAGCAAAAGAACAAGAAAACCAAACAATAAGGACAACACAGACAGTATATGTATTAAATACACAACATTTAATACATATGAACAAAAAGGAATGGAGCAAAGTTAAAGGGATCGTTTACCCAAAAATGAAAAATTTTCCCCCATTGACTTCCATAGTATTTTTTCACGGTCAACTGTTTGGTTCAGAAAAAAATGTGTTTGGCAGAAGAAATAATTTCATACAGGTTTGGAACAACTTGATATCTAATTGATTCTGCATTAAAATGATAATTCAACCAGAAATGTTCCATGTAAGAAAACCACAAAGCTTTGGAATGATGAGGGTGAAAAAATTAGGAACATTTCAGGTTGAATTATCCTTCGAATGCAGAATCAATTAGATATGAATCAATTTTACAATTGGTCAAAATAATTAAGATCATATAATCACTCTGAACTTAAAGGGATAGTTCACCTAAAAATGTTCCTAATTTATTCACCCTCATCATTCCAAACCTGAGTGGTTTTCTTACATGGCACATGAAGAGTTGAAGTGGAATGTCTAGCATGGGTGTTCCTGGACTCCATGCACTTCCCGTGTAGATACATTTACATTTAGACATTTTGCAGACGCTTTTATCCAAAGCGACTTACAAATTAAGAGTAAATTAAGCGAGTCATCGTGAAGAGGCAAAAACAACGCAAGCTTGGACTTATTTCATTTTTTCTTCCACATCTACAACAAAATCTTCATTTGTGCATCTGTTTTAAACAGAATAGTTAAGTAATCACTGATCTGTTTTGAAAAATATAATCTGCTTTCTTATAGCGGAATGGCCAAAGACGGTTACTGGACTTCCTAGCACATCAGGCACAACTGCAAGTATCGTCGTAATACGACGTGACCGAATGTATGTTGCCCACGTTGGGGACTCAGCAGTAGTGTTGGGGGTGCACGATGACCCCTTTGACGAGGTGATTGGAGCGGTGGAAATTACGCAGGACCACAAACCTGACCTCCCGAAGGAAAGGCAGAGAATAGAGGGGCTCGGTGGCAGGTGATTTGTTCATTCAAGCATTCAAAGTCACACACAACTAATCTGAACAAACTGTATTCACACACTTTTGGTACCTTCTGCTTTTGATAAAATATGTGTAGAGGCGTGTGTTAGCCACACAGATGGAAGAGATTATTTTGTGATTTGATGGTAGACTTTCATGTTTTGCTCTTTTTGGGTTAACTTTAACATGCAACCATCATCGTCCTTTTGTTTTATGACTCAACACTCATCAAGAAAACACAAACTTCAACCATGTGTGTCTGCAGTGGTGAGACTGGTTTTTGTTTGTGCACCCAGAGCTTTAAAAATGGGACAACATTACCAGACATGCTCTCACATTTGTTCTCATTTACATAATCCAAAATCAAGCTTTCTTTGTCTTTTAGGCACAATACACGATATAGACCAACATTCAATATTAATGTCTAATATTTTTTAAAAAAAATAATGTTTTTAAATAATGACTTAGAGTAATGTTTAAACTTTAGTGAACAAATTTTATTTGAGGCTTAGTTTTGGGTAGCACAAGGAATGAATATTTTTGGTCAGCATTTTTTTTTTTTGGTATATTAAAGAGACACTGCATTTTTTTTTTCCCAAAATGTTTCCCAAAAAAAAATATGTTTTTAAATAATGGCTTAGAGTAATGTTTTTGGTCAGCATTTTTTTTGGTATATTAAAGAGACACTGCAATTTTTTTTTCCCAAAATGTTTCCAAAAAAATAATGTTTTTAAATAAATTTTTTTTGGTATATTAAAGAGACACTATGCAATTTTTTTCCAAAATGTTTCCAAAAAAATTATGTTTTTAAATAATGGCTTAGAGTAATGTTTAAACTTTAGTGAACAAATTTTATTTGAGGCTTAGTTTTGGGTAGCACAACGAATGAATATTTTTGGTCATCATTTTTTTCGTATATTAAAGAGACACTAAGCAATTTTTTTAGCTTAACTGAACAGCTTTGGAGTTATTGAAATGGTTATGACTTCTTTCGACTTCTTTTATAACCACTAACAACATATATTAGATCCCCTTAAATGACAAATTAAACAGAATGTAATGTTGTATACTATTTACTACAGTAACATTAAATACAAGTACTCCACAGCAACTCTAGGGGTCTCTGTTTGACAAAAACGGAATTCCTGCATAGTGTCCCTTTAAACTTAAACTCTGATGAGATCCACAACTTATCATTGTCCCATCTCTCTTCTAGTGTCATTAAAAAGTCTGGAGTCAATCGGGTCGTGTGGAAGAGACCCAGACTCACCCACAATGGGCCAGTGAGAAGGAGCACCGTCATCGATCAGATCCCATTTTTGGCTGTGGCCCGAGCTCTTGGTAAGGTGCACATGAGGATTAAGCTATTTTGTAACATGAGGTAATCTTTGGAAAAACAGTGACAATGTTGAGTTTCAATGCATCTGACAAGTCAGCAGAGACTGTGTACTGTCCTACAAATTGCAACATGCCACCATGATAAACTGTTCTTTAGCAACAACAAACAGAATGTGGAATTGCAACACTGGCTGATTAGAGGTTAAGCAAGGTTTTCAGGGCTCGGCAATAAGGACTGTGATGGCCTGGGGCCAGTGTAAATGATGCTCTGGACATTTAATTGAACTTCATCATAACACACCTGAATGGACAAATACAAACACAAATGTATCATCAACAACATGCCCATGAACAGTTGGGAAAAAATTAAATTTCAATATATTAGATCCCAGCATTATGTTTTAATGTCGGCGTGAAATGGAAGTTGAGATTGTCATTTTGTCCTTGTTGTGACGTATATCCGAGTGAAACGGCTTCTGAAATTAGAAAAAAATAGATTTCGTCCTTCGGGAATTGATTGGATCGTTGGAGGCTGGGCGTTGCAAACAAAACGTGTTTTTTTTTTTTTTTTTTACAGTTTTACAGTTTTTTGTTGTTGTTCATATTCAGTAATGTAATGCACATGTCTTCAGGTGATCTGTGGAGTTACGACTTCTACAGCGGAGAGTTTGTAGTGTCACCAGAGCCTGATACTGCTGTTATCAAGCTAGATTTGAAGCGGCACCGCTACATCATCTTAGGCAGTGATGGGTTATGGAACATGGTATCGCCGCAGGAGGCTGTGTCTATTTGTCAGGACAATGACAATGCCAAGGTGAATAGGTGTAAATTTATGCTTCAACTAAGGTTGTAATCGTCTTTCAAAAACATTTGCTTACCTGAATGTTTATTCCAACAGGTGAAGAACCAAAAGGAAAATGTTTCAAATGCAGTTCTGCTTGTGAACCATGCCTTACTGAGATGGCGTCAACGCATGCTCCGTGCTGATAATACCAGTGCCATTGTTATCTGTTTGGAGCCGTTCGGGACATCCAGTGAGTGCTTGCCACCTTATGAGATTGTGTATAATCTACAGGGACCAAAGTGTGGCTCTATTCCCGAATCTTGCACTGACTCTTTGCCAACTCAGGTTAGGAACGTTTATGATTTTCTAATTGACAATACAACAGTAGTGTAGATTAAGACGAAAAATAACCCCGCACTCAAGCTTCATATGTGGTTCCTTCTTTTATAGGTCCCTTACACTCAAGGACAGCACATCCCAGAGAAGAAAAATGGCAGCTGTGATACAAGCGCAATATTTGAATCATCTCCTGAAAGCCTTACAAGCTATGAGGACCTGCCTTGTAATGACTCAATGGAAAATGAGGCCAATTGTGATAGAGTGCCTACAGGCAAACGGATGCTAGAGGATTCCTCGTCGCCTGTGCTGAAGAAACCACGTCGTAGTTTGTCCCAGTCCCCTGTACATGAGTCCTCATGTACATCCTCACAGAAACCGAGCATACAGTCCTCTGCGAGGAGCGACGGCGAAAGTAATGGTCAAAAACAGTCTGAAAATGTCCAGAAGCTGCTTCAGCAGCATGGGAAGACTACTGTATGTGTTTGCTGACATTTGTGGTCCTATTACAATGCAATCTGTACATTCAAGCTGGATAGACAGACTTTATTCATATAGTTCATACAAGCTACTGAGAAACCAAATCCTGAAGCAAGTAATCATGTCAAAAGAAAAATCACTAACTTCCATTCACAACACTCATATTTTAGTGTGTTTTATGTATGTTTTACTTCAGATTTTGAAGACTAATGAAAAGAAAACGTGTTTTGTTAGATTTTAAACAAGTTTTAGTTTTTCCTCCATTTTTGTAATACTTCAGGTCTGTCAGGTAGGCATGATTGGTCAACTAGGGATTTTTGCACTTTAAGTTGAATTTGTGCAGTCTTTTTTGGAAGATGGGAAGTTTGTGAAAAATGACCAAAAAAAGAAACGGTATCTTCTAAGAAGATAATTCCCTGCAGCTTACATGTCATCTGTTTTAAAAAAAAAAGTTCATCTGCTTGGAATCAATGCTATTGTTTTTCGTGTCCATGGTTTTACTGAGTAAGAAGAATGGTGGATCATGTGTAGTGTTCCCTTATGTCTTAACCCTCTGTCATAAGGTTTAATGTTATATGCAAGCATGAACTTTAATAATTATGCATTATGGATTTTAAACATTACACTTATTTGAATGTTTCCAAGTATTTTATTAACTTTGACAAATTCTCCCATCAGAGAAAAAAACATTCTAAACTGAAGGTGCTGCTATGCTAAACAGGTCAATAAAGTTTTTTTTACAACAAAAACTGTTTGTTAATTAAATCTTTGAACTTGTTGGGAGGACTAGTGAAAACAAGAAATAGGAGTTTAGTTAACATGATAGCATATTAAGTTATTTTAATATTGCAGGTTTAAATATTTTTAAGTTTGAAGTTTATTTATTTATTTATTTATTTTATTATGCCTGCAAACCGTATAGAGATGACATAAATGATATACAACTTTGCATACAATATGAAAAATATATCAACAATATCTTCAATACAATATAACAATACAATGAAGGTCTTATTATTTACTGAGGATCAAATAATGTTATGGTACATTTTAAGTTCTTATTTTAAAAATGGAAAAAAACTAGTTTGCTGTTGTTGAATTTACTTTTATGTATATAGAATTTGCTAAGAAAATAAATTAAATTTATCACAAAGCAAGCTTTGTTTTTAGGTCCAAAATCAAAGTATCCAAAAATAATGTCTTTAATGTTTACAGAAACATCTTGCTGGATTTTATGCATGTGCATATAATGCATGTGTCAATTTGTCCATAGTTCAGTACAGAAACATGACCAAAATAAATGATTAATAGTTTACGTGTAAACTTAGCAAAATTAACATCTTTAATATTAATTTTATATTTAATCAAATCACAAAATATTTTACAGGGTAAAATGTTTTTTATTATTTTGAAAGACACTTAATTTTTACTTTATTAGTAGGATTTTTTTTTTTTCATAATTCTTGTTGTAATGAACATTCAATTAAAATTTTTAAATAAATGATTCCAGTAAAGTATCGCGGCAGGAGACTCGAGAGTAATGCTTTAAAAGTTGAGAACAATGGTTGAGAACCACATTTTTTTTCCGGAAAAAGCCGAGGATGAACGAAGTAGCTCGGCTAGTGATCATCACGCGATATTTCGATGTAAATAAACACATCAGCGTGACGTGAGGTAACATGCAGGTTTATTCTGGATGCTCTGCGCATTTTTAAACGTCGAAATGTTCGAATCGCGAACCAGATAAACCTTTCTATAACACTCCACCATGTTGTGAATGTTAATTTTAACGACACATCAGAATTGTTCAGGGAACAAAAAAAACCTAAACAGCTCCTGCCGCCCCCGATTGGTCAGAAATTACTAAATGCCCGCCTTTGTCGTGAGTCTATTGGCTACTTGTCTGCTATGCTCACCTCTGATTGGCTGAAGCATCTGTTGTTTCCGCTGCATGTCAGCTTCACTGTGGCGTTTTGTGAGGACCTCTGTTGATCCGAATTCAAAACACAAAACCTCGGGTTAGTGCAAATGTCTCTTCTTTAATCATTCACCTGCATGTTTCTAGCATACCTTATGTATATATTTCTTTCAGGAAGTCTTATAAGTTATTGTCATTTGTTCAGTTTATGATGACAGCGGTAACGTAAACGTGGCTAAGCTAACAGACAAACTGGAAATAGTTGATATGATGAAATGTCTTGTACTGACACAACTGACAGCTGACACACTATTGAGCTCTCTTTGGACATTGTTTCACTATAAATTATTTTAAATTTATAGTTAAATGTTACTAAATCAAGAGTTACTCACGTTGTTATACTTGCAAGAATGTATTTACATCCTATAGTTTGGTTGTTTGTAAATATTGCTTCAGAGTGTTTTCTTTTGTTTATCTCGCGCAGATGTCTGTTGCTATTATGTGCTCTAAACATTTACAGGATCAATATTTAATAGGAATGTGCCTATGGTGCAGATTAAACTGATCCAGGCACATCTTTGCCTTATTTGTTTACATCCATCTGCAAGGTGGATGATCTGCAGTGATCATTTGTAGCCTAACACTTCTGTTGAATTTGGGGTAATAGAGATCATAAGGAACAATGATAAGCAGTACTCAAAAGGGAGGCATCTCTGCAGTAAAGTTTTGAGTAATAAGCATGTAAAAAGTATGACCTTATCTTCTCATACTCTGGTCCAGCAGGATACTGAGTGGTTGGCCATGGCGTCTGACTCCCCGCGCAGACCGAGCCGCTGTGCTGGTGGGGTTGTGGTTCGAGCCCAGGCTGCAACGTAAGAGCATCATGAATTGTTTGTGAAATTAAATTTCCGTGTTTTTTTTAATTTGTAAAGCCAAATGTTCAGAATTGTAAATATTAAGATGTCACAAACAAAAAAGGGCTGAAAAATTTTGCCGCTGATCAAGCTATCAGTATTGTCTGGTCTCTTCTTGTGTGGTTGTTTTTTTTTTTTTTTGACAATTGGGTTTACTCTTTTGCAGAGAACAGTCATACATGGAGAGCGTAGTTACGTTCTTGCAGGATGTAGTCCCTCAGGTAAATGCATTTTTTGCGTCTCTGTGTTTAAAACTGTAGATTTGCAGTTTTTTTTATTATTATTTAATTTACATGACATGTTGATCTATGGAAAATTCAAGTGTTAGTATATTTCTGTTGTAAAACTTCAGAGCATTAAAAAAAGTTAAGATAAAATGATTGATAGTGAGGGTAAGAACGATTTATTAATGTGTCTTTGAAATTTCAGGCGTACACTGGGACACCTCCAAATGATGAAAAAGAAAAGATAGTTTGGGTCCGTTTTGAAAAAACAGACATCAATGGTGAGTTAATTCTATTTTTGTTTTAGATGTTGTGGAAAAGAATATATTTTGTTTTGTCATGTTAAATTGATGCATTCTGCATAAAACACGTTTTGTGAACCATTTTTATTTATTTTTAAGACAAGTGTTTTTATACAGCACAAGAAACCTTTCCAAAGTACACTACCATTTAAAAGGTTTCAGTTTGTTATTCAATGTTCATTGTCACTGTTTTTTCTTCCTTTCTGAATGCTGAATGACCCCAAACTTTTAAAAAGCAGTGTAAGAAGCATTAAGAAATCCTAAACATGGCTATCACAGTAGTTCATATTTATCTTGCCATATTGGGCTAAACAAGTTTTTTTATTGCACCAATGCTAGGTCAGCCAAATGCTGTGCAGAAAACATGTGGATAAGATGACTGGCAGAAGTTTAGACATAATTTTCCTCTCAGCGACAACTCCGTTACAGACAGTTTTCTTCATGAGTATATTTAGCCTGTTAGCATCCATAGCTTTAATCCCACAACATTGATAGAACAAGTGACACGTCTTGCTTCACTGCATAAGACTTCTATTGACAACCTAGCCATGAGATTTGCTTTTACTTTTTCATTTCATCAGAAGAATAAACAGTGGCAATCAGAAAGGTGATAGATTTCACCAACTTTTGAATCATTATTTATGCATTCTGTTGTTGTTTGTTGCATTGTTTTACACTTATGCCAAGACTTTACTTGCTGTGTTCTGTTTCATGTCTGTTTTGCTGACAATGAGTGTTTCCTGTCCTGTGTCTAGATGTGTCCCGCCTACCAGAGTTCCAAGAGATGCACGGCAGCGGCACTGACCCGCCTCTCTGCTTGATGATTGGCTACACTGATGGAATGCAGATTTGGAGCATATCAGTGAGTGCATTTTAAACTCTCACTCTGCCTTCACCACTCTGGCGGCAACCGAATGCGCATACGTCTATGTAGTTAACGAAAAACAATGTGAAAAGAGCAGTATGTCAAAATTCACAGTATTTGAACTGTTGGCCAAAAAGTACCCGGATGACCTACTACTGCCGGCAAGGTTCCGAAATACACTGGACAATTTACTATCCCATGAGGCTACTAGAGAGAAGTCGTGAATGGCAACTGATGCAACTGCAACTGACACTATCTATCACATGACAAATGTAGTCACATGTCTATCACATGACAAATGTTCTATTTTGTACGGCATTCATAATACACACATTGCTACTAAATTGAACATGCTTTTTCAAAAGAAGTATCTACTCAGAGAGTATGTGATTTCAGACGCAGCCATTGTGTTTTTCCCCTGGACCAGTCTTTCTGTATGACTGCTATAAGGGGATGTACACACACACACAATGTTTTGCACTGGGAAAAAAACCAGAAACCAGTCATTTTAGTGACAGTGATAGTTTAGACAGTGAAAGTCAGTGGTAAATCCAGCACTGACTGACTCCTCCTGACTACCTGGTGTAAACTGTGTTATTTGTCCTTAATTTTTTAATTGAATAGAGATTTTTTTTTTTGTATTGAAATATAATGTTCACTCAAATTTGACCCAGAAAGGACATTAAGATTGATATTTTTTGATATCACTTGGTATTACTGACTTGGTGTGGTTTATTTTTTGTGTAATGCTATTACTCTTTGTCACCACTCGGTGCCGCCATAGACAAAGGTAAGGCTGTGCCCTAGAAGAATAGAGATTTTATTATTGAAGTTGGGTCAATGATATTGGAAATGAAGACACATGCTAAGCTCTGAATCAAATGTCAAATGTAAAAAAATAATGGTAACTACAAATTATATCACTTCCCCAATAAAATAGTGAAAATGTCAGCGTTTTGATTTTACAGTTTCTCATGGTAATATAGATCAAGATATCCATCAGATGATGTTAGTTTCAACCTAACTTAGCATTTATTTTAGAAATTTCATGACAGTTATCATCTCAGAAAGGAGTTGCTTCTCTATTAAATTAATTTGGATGCAGTTGAGCATCATATCATCACAGACATGGGCTCACTATTTTGAATATGCAAAAATGAATATCACATTTTTTTTTAAGAAGGTGTTACATTGTCTGGCCGTGAGTTGGCTGCAAAGCGTTTGTGACAGTTGCTTAGATGACACCTTCTGTAATGGCGTTGAAGGGAGGAGTAGGAGTGGCACTAGCTGTGGTACATTTCTGCGTTCCTGTGCATTAGCATCTTGGTGGAGCGGAATCTTTGATGGAGGTGTTGCTGGCTCGCAGGAGATAGCATGAAGATTAGATAGGGCTAATTGAAGTGGTGTTGGAGTAAAGGGATGACATGCAGTACATTGGAGGTGTCTCTGCTCTGCTGTTATTATTAAAGCAGCCTGATGCGTTTCACTGTTTGAATAGGTTTTGCCTGATTTATTCCATATATAAAGGGTGATATGTGTAATTTTTTTGTTGTGTAAATACTTTTATATCAGTTGTGGTGCTCCCAATGTGTGTGTAACGAGAGTAATTCATTAGGTATTTAATTGTTAATTTTTGTTTCCTTATTTATTTATTTACAATTTTACTTTGACTTTGCCATCACTCACTTTATTTAAATTTGATCTTTAAAATCACTTAAAAATCGAATCACTTTAAAATCGCTAAATAATTTGATAAACACTGTTAAACATAATTTTTAGAAAATCAAATTTAAATACAATTACTTAGCTGCTGAATTTAATTCATATATTCATATATATAGGCTTACGTTTTAATATATCATTTTAATTATTACACGATATTATGCCATTTAGATATTATTGTATTATCCAAATCCCACATTTTCTTTAGTATTAGCTTGTCATGCACATTTATTGTTTTTCAAAAAAAAAAAAAGGAAACCTTTAATTATACCCATTTTATTTATGTCTTGTATTGTTTTTTAATGCATAAAATGCATAACGTCAGAGCACATGCTCTCTAGATAATGAATTGGATTTTTGGAGTATTGGATAGGCTTTATTAGGGTCTCTTATTCTCAGATGAAATATTCAATTCCCTTTACAGAAACAAATGATAATTGTGTTGAACATTTTAAAGTCTAAAGACCATTCTAAAAGACAAATTGTTGGTTGCAGTCTATAGAAAGCAGATCAGAAGTTCATATCTATTATTTCTATCATATCAAGAGCCCTGCAGACCAGGAGACAGAGAGGTCACCAATCATTCTTGCCTAATGTGGGATATTGTCGTCTGTTTGTTGCTCTGCTTTCAGATGCTCTCCGCTTTCTAAGTGTACAAACGGGGCTGCCGTCTCTCTCTCAGCTCCAGATGCTGTTGGTTCACTCTGATTTGCTGAATTCCATCACACAGAGTGGCTGGAGATTAACAAAACTCATTCGACACTGTATCTAGTGAATGAAACTACAAGAGGGAAAAACAACCAAGAAGCTTCAATTTTGCATATTGCTGTGATAAATAGTAATGTAATAGCTGAGAGGTTGGTGATAGATGCCATCACTAAAGCCGCGTAAAGCGAGGATGAGCAGTCTGGTAATACACTATGACAGTCGCATTAATGTAAACCTCACAATCCTCTAAATTCCATTATTTCTCTGCCCTATTTGCTAGCCGAGGGTTTTGTTTTGTGGTGGCCCACGTGCATTGCCTCTCTTGTTTTCTCCCTTTCTGTCTCTCTCTCTCTCTCACATCGAATGTACCGTGCTGTAGATGCCATATTAATCTCCTACTTGGCAGTTTCAAAGTCTGCACCGAGCACTTTTAATAAAAACATGACTGATCCTGCATTTGAAAAAGCTACTAATTGTGCAAAAGAGCGATCATCCTCTGTGGGCTTATCTGCTTGAGACACATGGATTATGTCCAGTAATGTGATAAAGGACGTTTCTGTAATTTAACACACATAGAGACGCACATTCAGAGCTTAATTCTTAAAACAAAAAGCTTGCATAAAAGGCTGTAAGGCTGTGGGTCGCCAATCAAAATATTTCCGCCCTTGCGATGTGATATGCCGCTCCCAGCTTTGGTTTCACAGATCTGGATTTCCAGCAGCTTATTGCAGCGTCAGTATGAGAATGACGTGATTAAGGCTAATTTGATTTTTTTGTTTGTATTAATATTACAATATATCAAATGTAGCTGTTTGTTAAGTGTTGGATATTGGCCCGGGCTAGTTAGTCATGGCAGAGCTTTTTTTGGGGAGCACGTTGACGGAGTACATGGTAGCTTTAGTTTTGTGGTTTAGTTGTTTGCTCATTCTCCATACTTCATGAGAAGTTTGTTTCTGTCAGTTTTCCTTGATTTGTCCTTCTCCGTGAACAAATCTCTCTTTGTTTGCCTCCCATTGTTCTTTGATTTCTCACAACCACATTTTTGCCCCTGAGTGGCATGGAATTGATCAGCAGTTTTGAGTTTTCTTACATGGGCAAGGGCAGGAAAAGGCTTACTAACTCCAACAGACCAGATATTCTTAAAAAAAAAAAAAAAAAAAAAAATACAATCTTGAAACAAGTTTCCCCTAAACTTTAATTGGTTGCACAGGAGATAGTACCTCCCCAAAATTACACCATTGGTTAAGTCAGTGTTGCTGGATGCTCAAACAATAGCACAGAACCACAATGTTACACTTTTCAGGGAAACCAACTTACTAGTGCCTTACTTATAATTGAATCTTCATTCTAAAGGACTAGTTTACCCCAAAATATTATGTTTGTGTCATTTATTCACTCCCATGTTGTTCTAAAATGCATTTTATTGATCTTTTAACACCTGTGACTGGATCTCTTGAGTTGAACTCCAACCCAATCACTGCACTGTAAAAAAATATTTTCATGATTAGTAATCACAACATTTTTTCTTTTGTCAAATCAACTTAAAAAATTGATGTAGTTCAGAGAACATAATATTTTGAGTTTCTGATGCATAAATCAATCTCCTTCATTGTATTAACTCAATTTTTCCAGTTTAATGAACTTAAAATTTTAAGGCAACCAGGTTACTTCATTTTTTTAAGTTAAACCAACAATATTTTTTTTACAGTGTTGTGAATAAATCATTCACACCACTGTTATGATCTGGATAAATCGATTATTTAAAAAGATCCAATTCAAAAGAATGATTAGATTGTGAATAGAACATCAGTGTTTCGCATTGCTAGCCTACTTCTCCAAGAAGAGGATCAAATTTTGAATAACAACTTAGATTTTAGTCAAGAACAGACCAAAAATGTGTTACTTTACGGCTTCAGAAGGCATATAATGAGTCATATTATTTATCATATTTATAAAACTACATGGGGCTTTTTTTTTCTCATTTTGGAGCTTTACAGCCCCAGTTCTCATTCACATTCATTATATGGAAGATGATAGCCTCAAATTGATTAACAGTTTCCTGTTTTTTGCTCCACTGAAGTAGAGTGATACAGGGTTTCGAACAACATGAGGGTGAGTAAATGATTCACCCATGATTTTAATTTTTGGGTGAATTATTCCTTTTAAATAGGATAGGATATTTAACTATAGTATGAAAAAACAAACTTTATCTTTTAAAACATCACAAGTGTCATGTAATGCCAGGCTTTTTTTTTTTTTTTTGCTGTCATACAAGCTCTCTGGCGTTTTTTTCTTTTTTTTTCTTGAGAGAAATCATGTGGAAATCTTTGATGTTCGTATAGTTGCGGCTCGCGTTGTGTGAGCGGAATTACGAGCCGAGCCGAGTACATTACGAGCACCTCTCAACCTCACCGATAATTTTCAAACATGTTTATGTTTTAAGTGTCTTGTAACGTGTGCAATGGCGCATGGCCTCCCAAGTCGCACAGTGTATGCCTGCCTTAAGAGCACGTTTGTCAGTGACTGAAGCCTATTGAGCGTTGCGGCTTTCATCCATTTTCTGTTCATATCCGAAGGCCAGATAAAATTACACATCAGTGTTTTTTGTTTTTTTTTGTTGTGTCTTGCTTTGCTTTGTTCACAGATGTCTGATGTTTATCTTCCAGTTGTTGGGTGACTCATTATCAAGCCACATCACAGCCACTGCAGACCAAACAGAGCATTGTGTGATTTACAGTCAAGTACTTTTATGTCAGGGATACCACAGTATTTAGGGCATTCATCATGGGGTTTCTCTGTCGAACAGAATGTGTTAGCTGATGTGCAAATAAAAGATAAAATGTTGGAGCCTCGTCAACTCTAGTGCAGTTTTATAGATGCCTTTTTGTCCTTGGCCTGATAAGCTGTGTGATGTTGCTCTGGTACAAACCCATAGAAACCTTCGAGTGTATGCATCATCACATTCACACACCCACCATCCTCTTTTCTGTGTCTTTGAACTTTAAGTTTATCTTTCTTAATAGACTGTCTGTTGTTTTTTTACGTTTTCTTTCTTTGTTTCTTCTCTGTGCAGCTGAACGGGGAGGCGCAGGAGCTGTTCTCGGTGCGACACGGGCCCGTGCGAACTGCTAGGATCCTGCCTGCTCCACATATCAGTCAGTATCAGACATCCCACTGCCTCTGTCTCTCTCCTTCTACAGAGCCACCCATAGCCACATGCATGCATTACTTTTATCTTAAAGTATCCCCTTAAAACTTTTTGGGTACACTTAAAATGCATGAATAAATGTGCTCTTTGAAATAAATTATATTTGGGGCTCACTATATAGTTTAGGACTTCCTAAAATCTCCACTCAGATTTTGTCTTTGTAATCAAACAAATTAAATGCATTAATGCTTCGTAATTCCAGCAATATGTAAAATTGTTAACTTGACATACAGTATACTAGCATTCACAATTTTGTGGTCAGTATTTTTTTTTTTAGAAAATAAATGAATTATTAAGTTTTATTAAACAAGGATGCATTACATTGATCAAAAGTGACAAATGATTTTTGCATTTTAACATGCAAAAGATTGATCTTTTTTTACTTATTATTTTCCATTTAAATGCGTCAAAAATACGGGAAAAAAGTGTATTACGGTTTCTACATAACTATTATGCAACACAACAATATTTTAACATTGATAATAATGAAATGTTTCTTGAGCACCAAATCAATATATTAGGATGATTTCTTAAGGATCATGTGACAATGGAGTAATGGCTGATGAAAATCAGCTTTGCATTACAAGAATAAATTACATTTAAAATATACACAAATAGAAATGTTTTTTTTTAATTTGTAATAATATTTCAAAATATTACTGTTTTTATTGTAGTTTTGTTCAAATAAATGCAGCTTTGGTAAGCATAAGCGACCTCTTTGAAAAACACTAAAACAATCTTACCGACATTAAACTTTTGAACGGTAGCATCTGTGTCTTTGTTAATTGAATTGCAAGACAATTAATTTCATGTAGTGCTTTTTCTTTCTTATAAAAACTGTTAAGACATTTAATTTTGCCATCCTAATTATGCCACCCCGGAAATATAAATATAAAATTAAAATGAATATTTTTTGTTGTTGCATTTTTAGCATTCCCCCCACCCCACTGTTGTCCAAAATAAACCTAACCCATTTTGAGGTCATGAAGCCCATGACAGAATTCTTTTCATCACGGCATTTAAAACTGCTGCTTTGAAATATTATTACATATTCTACATTCCAGTGACATCTTGATTTTCAGCTTGTCAGGAACAAGTGTCCACCCCCAAATTGAAATATGCGTTGACAGAGTGTGATCTCCCACTACACGTCATATGCTACACAAATAGCATGTCATGTTTGCCACTGTTATTTGTCTAGAAAATTTGAAGGAAGTAAAATCAGTTTTCGGCAGTTACATGCTTTTGCGAATCAAGTTAAACCGAGATGTGGCAATTTCTACAATTCCATGTCTCTCTTCCTTACTGGCTTTTCCATATATCATGTTTAAATTAAAGACTGCCTCCTGTTTCTTAATAGTGCAGAGCGCTTGCCAGAGCCCCGCTGTTTTCCCATCATAATATTAAAATCAGTCCTTCACGATTATGTTGGCTTGCTGTCAGCTGGCTGCCTGGACTTTTACCGCCGCTCTGGCAGAGAGGAACTGCAGACTTCTGAGATTTTCCTTCTCTTTCATCACGGCTCACTCATTGGCCATCGCATGCCTGCTTTCATTCCATTTGTTAAAGGACGAAAATGAATCCTCTGACAAAAGAATGCACGCTACATCTTACTAAACAAAAATACATTCAACCCAATGAGGTGTGATTTAAATATCGATGTTTTGTCAAACGGTCCCATTTTAATTTCTTTGTCATGATTTATGATTTTCCATAATTTCTGTGACGTGTATAAAATTCTGAAATCAGTTAAAGTATTTTTGTTTTGTTTATGCCTCGCTAAATAAGTGTCATGGGCATAATCAAATGTAAAAACAAAAGGAATAGGAAATGCAGTCATATTGTAGTGTGACATTTATGTGCCGAATTTGCGTTCTGTCCTTTCTGCAGATTTAAACAATGCACAATAAAGGCATTGAACGGCGGCTGGATTTGGATAAAAGAGAATTGTCATAATAAGAAGCAGCAGACGGCCAACACATGAGGAGAGCGCTTCTCGGCTAAATCAAATGAATTGTACAAGTGGGGAAACTGATTGCGATCTGTTTGGCGCAAACAGTGTCACACTGTAGTGGGATTAAAAAAGAGTAATTGTTTTAGCTGGGTGGGCGGATTTGGAAAGTCCTGAAAATAGGTGTCAATTTTAATAAGGGAAGGTCTTTCCCAGAATAAAGGAGGAAGTTCTGCTTTCTCTAAAGAGGCAAACTGACTTTTTTTCACATCCGTTCTGTTTTTGACTTGTGCTGTTGTTTTTGAAATGATTTATTTCTAGGTGACTGCTATCATATCCACAGCTGACCAAAAAATATGCCGTTGTTTCCTCTCCGCTTAAATGCACTCCGTTTTATCCCACCTTCGCAAACGGCCCTCCTATCAATGTATTATTTACTGAAATGCAGGAAATTTGTCATGTCTTCCAGAAAACAATCTCGTCAATACTACTCGGCATGAGTTGAAAGCAGACATTGGAAAATACAAATGAAAACCACTTGTTTCAAAGACCAGCCGTTTTCGAGGCACACCGCTACAGGCGGAGAGGAGCACGGCTTGGTTTTCTGCACCTTAATTGTTCTTTTAAATAAAAGGCAGCTGTTGTCTTTTAGAGGCCTGTTGTATTTGCATTCTGATTGGATATCGTGACCAGTGGCAATGTTTGATGACAGAGATGTGAAGATGGAGGAGAGGCCCTTTAAAGTGTTAGGGTTTGAGAATGACACATTCTCATGTCTCACGCCATGCCACAGGGACCATACTTTTCTGGAGCTGATTAGTGTCATGGCATGACTGCACAAATTACAGCTCCACAAAGGCTAACATCTTCTTCTATCCGGACATGAATGGAAACCAAGAGAATTAGATAAATATGGGATCTGTAAACTTACTACGACATGTTTTCTCCACCCAAAACATGCCTACCGGCCTTTTGCCATTCTGTAATTCCTCCGAATCCTTGAAATGAATGCCAGTGAGACAGAAGACTCCTTCTATAGCTTTGAAGGCTTATTCTTTATTAGAGTCAGAGGAGAAATGGTTTTCGTTCAACACATTGCGCAGAGTGGCGTTTCTGTTCTCTGTCTCAATTTAATGTCTTGCATGGTGGTATTTCAATTTCAAAGTCTCTGTGAGGACCAGGGCATTATATTTTGGTGGTAACAGTGTGTGAATATCAAGGGCTGACAGGAAAGAGGTGCCCGCTTTGTTTTTACATTTTTTTTGTGGACATTTTCAAGGCATCATTTTTAATTCCAGAACTCTTGTAATGCAATCAGTACGCTTCCTGTTGCTGTAGTTTTTTTTGTAAAAGCTTGAGTTCGAAGGGTGGGTGGCTTTGGCAGAGACACAACGGGCCTCATATGCGTGTGGCTAATGAATGTCCCTCTTTATGTGGGTCAGTGGTTAATTTTCCCCTTTCTGTCCCTCCGGCTGCAGGTTCCCTCAACACTGACAGCTTCGCTGAGAAACGGCCCCTCCTTGGCGTGTGCAAGAGCACGGGCTCTTCGGGGTGAGTGCACAACGACGATGTCACTTCCACTGTCAGCTCGGCCTAGTGTTTTGCATGGTGCCAGAGTTTTCCTATTCGCAGGTCTCTGCTGATAGTTTTTCAGCTACACACAAGCACAGTTTTAGCACAAGTTGGGATTTATGCCACAATAATAGAAGGATTTTCTTTTTGTACTCTGGTATTTGCAATCTTTCAACATTGATAATAATAAGAAGAAATTTTTCTAAAAAGAATAGAATGTTTTCCAGTGTTGGGAGTAACGCATTACAAAAGTAATACATTACAGTAACATATTACTTTTTGCTGTAACGCAGTAGTGTAAGGCATTACTAATCAATTTTCAGTAATATTTTACTCGTTACATGTTCAGTGAGGCTTGTATTACAGTTGTATTACAGTGTATTGTCTGCTTTTACTTCTTAAAGGCAACAGACTATGTGAAAGTTTTAAAGCAGTCTTTTAGTGCCAGTTCAGAGCGGTCGCGTCTATAACATTGTTTTTTCCTCATAAATGCGAACACGAAAACAAAAATAAAATGAATATTTTAAGTTCTATGGAGACTGGAGAGCCAACCCTTCCTCATCCGATTTGCGCAGTGTAATTAACAGAATTACAAAAAATATATTTTGCCTCCTATTTTTTTGTCACGCATGAATGTGTGTCTTTTCCCTAATATTAAAAATAAAAGAGACTGATATTTGTCTAATGTCTGGAGTCCTTTAAGGAAGTAGCCTATATACGTTTCAATACATGTATTTTCTGAGAATTTTTATTTCAAGTTTTGACTGCAAATGTCATGTCCATAATGCTGGACTTCCCCAATTTTAAATAATTTATCCTCAACTAGTTTTGTGGTGTAGGTCTACGTATTTTATAATGTTAACTTCAAATAATACTAATAGCCTAATTTAAAGATAAGGCAGCATTGGATCTGGACGGTAAGGAGAATAACGCTGGAAGAGGTGTGTCAATTCTGTAGGTTCGTGGATCTGAGTCGTGTGGCGAATCGCGGTTTCATATTGCACATCGTTACAGCCCCAAAGTTAAGTTCTACTTAGTTATTTTGGTGAAAGTAACTCAAAAGTAATACATGAGTAATGTAACGCATTACAATTCTGAGACAGTAATATTGTAAGGTAATGAATTACTTTTAAAAAACAGTAACAAGTAATACCTAATGTATTACAGTTTGGAAGTAACTTGCACAACACTGATGTTTTCTGAAGAATCATGTGACACTGAAGACTGTAATGGCTGAATAAATGATATATAAAAGTTTTATATTTAAAATATTATGTATATACACACAGTATTTGAAACATACATAGTGAATAATTGTTAATTTTCAGCTTGTCAGAAACAAGTGTCCACCTAATTAAATTGTTGTCAGTTTTTTTTTTTTTTAAACTCAACAACCATTGTTTTTATTTGTCACTGTGAAGGCTTGAGCTGTGAAAAAAATTGTGCACGGTTTAAAATATTATTTTAGACCTTGTTCTTTATTGTTCATTTGAGAAACGCCAGTTGAGGTTGAATGCAGGTCAAGGGCATTTAAGATCTTTGGATTTTTCCCCAAGTGACATTTTATGGGTATAGTAGGCTTGCATCCATCTCCTGCTGTGTGCGACACAAGTGGAGACATGTAAAACTCTTCATGAGGTGAAGCCCATGTGCTAATGGAATGTTCCGTCGTTGTCCGGTTTATGGCTTTTTCCCGTTTTAAAGCGTGGTTGAGTCTAAGCCACATCCCTTAGTGTGTGCAACATTTAGATGTTATGAGCTACAGATCCTAAGTGCATTTGAAAACCTGTAATTTGTTATACATAATAACCTGCATCAAAGGTCTGATGGGACCAGGGAGTGGTCTGGAGAGAGACGGCCAAACCCTGCTGACGAACTGACCAACCCGGTCAGCTCCAGAGGGCCAGATCTGCAACCTTGGACTCCTGACAGAGACAGACTGCGATCTGTGAGAAATATGCCCCCTAAGGGAGTGAGAGGGAGCAGGGCACATCAGTTATTGGCTCTTCTCCTCCCCTCAGCTACGTCTGCCACCTCTTAAAACGAACTCCTCCGCTGCTGCAAATCTTAACTCAATATTTCCTCCCGAGGAAATAGAATAAGGAAGTCTGTCTTCAGCACACTTTGATGGAGACCACCGTCCCAGGCGTTCCAAGACTAGAGCTTTGCTCTGCCGGCGCTTATGCAGCCAAACGCCCCGTGTCCGCCCCGGCATGGAGACAGGCTCTGGCGGTTTGGCTTTGTACTCCAGCAACGGTTGGTCTAATGCTGAAAACATGCCTCGTGTTGAAAACCATAACCCTCTCCCTCCGGGTGAATGGTGTTGCCGCTGCTATGTTCCAGTAGAAGTGTTTGGTAAATAGCCTAGCTCTGTGTTTTTCTTTTTTTTTTTTTTGAAAGGCTGCACTGTGCTCGGTTCTTTCCCCTTTACTGAAATAGTTCATAAACTTACCAAATTCCTCACACGATTTTTAGTATATAATCATTTTGAAATAACAGCTTTTGTCAACCACCATTGTGGATGCTGTCTTGCCACTCAAATGGAAAACAGATTGCAGTCTTGGCCGATACAGCACTGCTGGTTTAGAAGTTGGTTCACTCAGCTTTAGGCTTAGATTACAAGATTTGCAAATTAAAGGAAAACCAGAAAGAGGAAAAAACATGTGCGCTAAATCCTTCGTTGCAGAACTCCAGCCAGACACATTCAATATCATTTTATCAATGGAGGGGATTATGTCTTAAGTCCAAACAACGTATGGATCTGGTGAATTTCCTGACAGCAAAGTACACATGCCGCCCTTCTATAGCACTGGTACAGTTTGCAAATTAGCAAAGAATGAATGTGCTATTCAATCCACTGTTGGACCCCACTTGTATCTGGAAAGGATTTGGTTTTCCACAGTACTATTGTTTTCTTTTTACTTTAATTAGGGCTACAGGTATTACACTGACCAGGTTGAGCCTGTGTTCTTTTGTGCCAAAACGTGTCATTCATATCTATTTAAAACAAGCATACAAAAATAAATATGTAAATTGATTTCAGTCTGAATAGAGCAAGAGTAATAATTATACATCGAATTACATTGTTAGTTGGTTGAATATTCTCATTGAAGAAAGTGTATGTGTGGGTGTCTGTACTGTGTGTGTGTGTATATATATATATATATGAAGAGTTCAGATGCAAAAGCCTCTTAAGTGCCATTTGAAATTTACTTCTAGAATGATCATTTTTATCAAGCTTGTATATTTAAATGCAGTATTTTCACTTAAATGGCAATGATAATTACTTATTAATTGTTATTTAAGTGAAATTACTGAGCTTAAATATACAAGTTTGATAAAAATCAACATTAAAGAAGAAAATTTCAAATGGCATTTAGAGGCTTTTGCATCTGAACTCTTCATATATATATATATATATATTACATTTACAAGTATGCCAGACGGAATATAGCCTTGCAACTTTTAATTCATGGATCTGAAATCTAACAACATTAAAACCATGAGTAGAAAATGAAAAAAAAAAAATAAATAAATAATAATTTCAAATGATTGAAAATGTAAAGGATGTAATTTTAAAGGAAAATTAAATGGTTACCAAAAATGTCAACCATTTAGTTGCAGAACATTTGGTATAACCTCAGTATCAGAACATAAGGAATAAAAATCGGTCTTTAAGCTGGATTTAAAAGCATGTCATTTAACCATTTGTGTCCTCTGCAGTGAGTATGTTTGGAAGGGGTAAAAGTTCACCCTCCCAAGAGGCCTGCTTTTGTTCTCTGGATTGTAGAGAAATTAAGTCGTTGGGCAGGCAGAAAACAGTGCCCTCTCTTCCTTCCCCTCAAATTTCCAGATCTCCATGGAGAGGATGTGGATGTTTTTTTTTTTTTTTTTTTTTTGCAATCCTCTAATGCAATCCTCTGTCATTGTGGAGATTACGGCTGGACTGCTGTCAGGGGTTACAACACGTGGAGGTTCGGAAGAAGGTCCAGTCCTCACGGGCATAGAGCCATGACTTCGGCCACACTGTCCCTGGCTCCGGGATGGTGGCAGAGGTCCAGTAAATCTCCCACTGTATGGCTCTGAAGAGCAGAGCATCAACCCACTGTCTGCTCAGTATTATCAAAGAGATCTCTTTTTCCTTTTTCTTTAACCTTGTCCCTGATTGTCCTTACTCAAAGCTGTATCCATGCAAAGTCCTGCTGGCACCCACTGCCTGCTTATTAATTACACAATGGCTTTGAGGAGCGGAAAGCCAGTGTTGTCCACTGACTATTTTTAAAGCGATTTAGCTAAAGCCTACTGTGCTATTAAGCTGTGCTTTTCATTGCGTTTTTATTGAGATGTGAGAAATCCCTCTTAAGTGTATTAAATGATAAATCTCTGTGCGTTTGAATTAGACACAGGATTAAGGGAGGATTGGGAAGTGATGCTTTTAGAGCCCATGAGCCTGTTACTCTCTTGCCATCACACCTGGATCTGTGAGATCTCTTGGCTCGGTGGGTGCAACCTTGCAGAGATAAGTGAATGTAAATAGGAGACATGTCATCTGGTGGTGGTGGTGTCATTCAAAAATATTGCAAACACATTTTACTGTCTCCCAAAGTTAATTTAAAGGAACGGTTTACCCAAAATTGTTCTAGTCGACGTTGTACCTCTATAAATTAGATGGTAATTTATTAAGTGGCTAGAATGAATTGTTTAGCAATTTTTACAGTTTTAATTTGTGTGTATTTAGTTGGCTGTTGTATTTATTTATTATTTTTTTTGGCACACACACAAGATATTAAGGACTGTTTGTCTCTCTCCTCTGCCATTGCACTTGATGCATGGGTCTGCTATAAAACCATTGTTTACTTTTGGTCTCTTATGTGTGGACATTAAAAAAGATTAGAAGAAATAAAACCTCTTTATGGTCATGAATCATCAGAGATGTCCAATTCTTTATTTGGAAGCTCAGGGAGTGAAACGCAATGTTA